CACCTCCAAAGTTGGTAACTCATTCCATGGCTCAAACTCAAAATCACAGCTGTTTGCAGCTGCCTGCCGGGGTCTAAAATGCTCCTGACCAAGGCCTGGAACCTCTACAAATGTCTGAGGGACATTTTGAGTTCCAGCAGTCTGGGAGCAGAGCGCGGTGGCGTGCGCTGGGCTGGGTGCCTGGTTCACCATTCCCATGGGATGCAGCGAGCCCGCAGCTCCCGGGATTTCCCATTGCCGCAGACACGAAGCGTGCCCGGGAGGCTCCCGGGGAGAGCCCACGCCATCTGCACATCCTTCAGGGAAGGGATCAGCCTTTAATCGCTTGCGAGCTGCTTTGGCCCCTCGGAGGCCGGGCCTTTGTGCTGCGGACGGCGTGGCATTATTTCACACCGCTCATTTCATATTTCCAGGGCTGAAAATTGGGTCAGAGCTTCCCTCCGCTCTCCCCGCCGCCAGCATCCTCCTTCCTTCCCCCGCGGTGCGCGGCAGGACCTGCTGTCCCTTCCTCCCACGCCATCCCGGGAGGGATGCACAAAATCCCGTGCTTCGCTTCCCTCTGCAGTGACAGCACAAGCACACGCATGATGGATTTATCTTTTTTTTTTTTTTTTTTTTTTTTTTAGAGGTGGGGTAACTGAGAGGTGTTTGAAAAATTTTTTATTCTATTTTTAGTCTTGTGAGAAGGGTGAGATACTACAGATGTTGTAATTTATGTTATTATAATATAATTTATAAAATAATAATAATAATTTATGTAGTTCTAATTAGAAGTTAATTATTTTTTATTAGTTCTAATTAGAAGTTAACTATTTTTTATTTTTAATTACAATACACTATAAGCATTTCTTAGCCTATCAGTGTTAACGACACCATACTATAAATACCTTAAAACTAATAATCTAAAATTACCCCTCCTAAGTCCTACTACAATGCATCGTTCATAATTCTATTTCTCTAAAATATCTAATCTTATTTACAAAACCATCCTTTAAAACTTATTTATAATTCAATTTCTCTCTCAACAATGTCTATCCTATTCTATAATATTTCTAAGTCAATATTTCCTATCTCAAAATTCACATACAAATACACACTATATAAACCTTCTACCAAATTTTAAGAATTTTCTACAAATCCATTTTCCACATATGCAGCCAGGGATAGCCCCAGCTCCAAGGAATACTGCAGATTACAAGCTGACAAAATAATTCAGTGAGCTGATTTTGAATGGTGTTCAGTTACAGTTTTTGGCATCCATCAAGACTTAAAATTGTTGTACCCTAAGTAATCCACCTAAACATAAAGTGTCTTTGGGATGGGAAGGGAATACACCTGGCTTATGGAAATCCACGAGGATCCAGGCAGTGAAAAAGGCTTTAAAATCTTCAGGTTAATAACAGGATCATCTTCTGCAGAATTACATCCTTTTATTCACCAGCCCCCTGTGTGACAGGACACTTTTTGTATCCACGGACAAGGTTTGGCCAGGGGAGGGATGCTGAGGGCAGGTGGAACGGGCTGACTGCCAGGTGTGAGTTTGTGAGCCCCAAGGTGGGCACCTCCCTGGGGGCTGCCCTGGCAGGGGAGACCCTCCTG